GCTTTACACACATAATGTGCATGGGTATTTTGAAAGACCAACCACAATTAGAAGACGACTATTGGAATCTTAACATAACCTCTAAACAATTTGTGGGTAAGGATGCGAGCGGTTTCAAATGGTTCGAATGCGACATTTTATGTTCCCATCATAAAAACGTATCGAGACTAGCAGGTAGAAGTTTGTCGGCAAAAAGAGGATCGAAGCTAATGATAACAGGAGAATTGGAAATCAATGAAAGTCAAATATATTGTGAAGTTCATAACTTCGAATTCGTAACTCAAACAAGTCCCAAATTCGAAGGACTGAAGAGGGATTCATCTATATGGATAGAAGATGATGATAATGGATAAAAACGACTCACCTTCACGTCGATACAGAAAGTCGAAGCAAGTAAAATCTGCAGAAAAAAGATCCGAAGAACCTACAACACGTCAGTTCGCAACACCTCCTTCTCACATTGAACCTACGTCACCGCCATCCCCAGCGACTCTCACCTCGGACAACTCTGCAGCTGAAACTACATCACCGTCCAAGGAAAAAAAAAAGCCATCACGAAGGCAACCATAGCGACGTCGCGGTTAAACCTCTCTATTTTTTGTTTATAGTTTCTCATATAGTAGATGGAATAAGTAAAGAAGAAAACGAAAGGTTATTGACCTTTGTCAAGAAAATTTAAGAGTCTGTTAAAGCAGAAACCAAGTTTTAATTATTTTTGGCGGTTTAAATGAATGAAAGTGATAGAAGTGCAAATTCACTACATCATCAATCACCCACACTGCGACCCATCAGGAATAAATTAATAAAACCGTTACACAACTTCGTATTCTGATGGGCTAGAACATAAATATTTACATTACGTAGTATATAATATTTACTTAACCTCCTGAACAACGTCATATCTATACAAACAATACAGTAATACAACTGCAACAACGACAATGAAACCCTCTCACGACAAAAAAACTATAATACATTCATTATGCGCGACATAATAAAGCTTTAGTATAAATTTCCACTTGCTAACCACATCATAAAATATCTCAAGACTAGCAGGTAGAAGTTTATCAACAAGATAATGGAGAAATTAGAAATTAATCAAAGTCAATTTATATTGTAAAGCATGTGAAACAAGATCGCCCATCATCTACATCATCGCAATTATTATGTCTGTGTCACTCAGATTTTCTCTCACAATCCAAACAAAAAGTGCGCAATAAGGAAATTATACAAATTACTAAAGCAACAACCATCGTTAACCAACCAATTGACATTAACACCACGCAAACCTCCTAAAGTTAATATGTAACAGTTTTCGTATCGATTACTAACATCACAAAAGGCAATGTTCGCAAAGTAATAAGTTTGAATTTGTAAAATTATTGTAATGCTAACACACTTCCACTCTACCATATAATACTTTGAAAGTTACAAAATTGTAGTCTAGACAATCAAATGTTGATACACAGGATAATACACATTCGACACGACAAATCATTCACATGCGACTTAATCTCTCACAATCCTCTCAGGGGAAACAATAACGTAAGCGAGCAAATTTTTGCTCTAATTATCATAGAGAAATTTATGTCTCACTCGTGGTGTTAAACATTACCATTTCAAAATATGATCTATCATGCAATGCACCAGCAAAACCTCTTATCTATTTAAACTCTAGTTATAAAAAAGATTCGCATTAAAATTATATGTTTATGGGGTTCTGATAGTAGAATCTTCTTCGGAGGAATCATGTTGTTCGGTGGTTGACCTAGATTACTTTAATAAAATCTGATCGAATTTATGAAGATTTACCAGTATCCCGTTCTAAAGATAAAATAACCTTAGAATGCTGTATAGTATTAAAAGACTGATTTCTTGCTTTTCAAAATTTCTTACCCGCAAGATTAACAAGGCATGCACAAATTCTTCAACTTCATCCACAGTTTCGTTATGTAAAGGAAGCTTAGCTTTTACGATAGGGAAGTAAAACTTTATATTTTTTTCTCGTAACAATCCGTATACATCAACAATGGTCATCTAATTATCAAAACACAATTAGACAATAGAATGTTATCTACATTATAATTATTAAATAAAATGTTTTTTTACCTGTAATATTTATACCAAATATAATGCAGAATTTATACAACTTATCCCTTTTGGCCTTTTTCGACATATCGATATACCCGTCTGAGGTAAAACAGCCAACTTATTATGATCATTACGGGTTTTTGTGTCTGTCGATTTCCATTTTCCGCTTTTGACGTATGCGATTTCGTTCCACTTTTGTTTGAAAAATGCTCGAATCATTAAGTCTGGCTTGTTCCTCTTGAACCGGATACTTGTCGATTTTTTCGTTTTTTGCTGGCATCACTCTGACGATCATTTCGTGTTACTTCGATATCCAAGCCAATTGGCATTTGATATATAGACGCCTCAATAAGACGTGCCACGACGTCTACGAGTGCATGCTCAGAAGCTTTGGAAATTTTGTGAAGAACGTTTCTTTTCATTTCCTGTAGAAGAGTGTCGGTTATGTTTGTTGCTATTTGTGCTCTGTCGATTTCGCTCACAACCCAGTTCTTGTGCCTTGTCGTTTCTGAAGGTGCAACGACAAATTTGTACTGGGTTTGGATTTCGTTTCTTCTCATAACGTAATTTGCACACGCACTCTTTATCAGATAACCTTTTTTCAACTTCCTTATAGTACATTTCTCTCCCTGTATAAACAGGTTCCAAATATGTTATACAATTTAGTATAATCAACATAATTCGTGTAAATATAATAATAAATTACTCACCGCAAGGATTTCGTAGTCATCATCTGTTAACTGGTATTGAGAGGATCCAAGGTCAACTATACCATTAGCCAACGGATTATCATAGGTTAAATCATTAATATCTAGTTCTTGTATCTTTTGAAGAAGACGATGATGAACAGGCGTGCCTGCTTGCTAGTAATTTGGAATTGGTAACATGATTAGTTATATTTAGTTCTGGTAAATTAATGAATGCGCATAAAATACCTGCAATGCATCCTTTAAGCTATTAATGTTACACAGCGCATGTAATTTCCAACTTGAAGATTCATTAGTCTCAAGCCTTAAATAGAGAAAATTACTCTAAACATCTCCTGCATTTGTATTTTACTTCAGAAACACTTACGTACCGAATTAGGTCTTCATCCATTAATGATTTTAACTCTACCCATATACATCGCATCTAGAAAAAAAATGTATGTTTATGTTACTAAGTACCCGAAATAAAAGCTTTTATTTATTAAAACTTGTGCAGATCAGATCTATCATTAGTGAGCCGAATATTTGCTTATACAGTATCACAGCCTTCCTTCTCATAAGCCAGTTAATATACCACCGCTTACATCTCTTCATTTGTATTGGTATACTGATATAAAGCTGAAATTTCTCGCAAATGGCTTATTATTATGGCCAGAGCACCACCGCTTACAGATCTTCTTTATATCAACAATACAAAAGCTGAAACTTCTCGCAAATGATTAACCGACTAACGAGTGGGTGGCTCAATCTATATTATATTTGCTTGTACTGTATCATAGCCTTCTCATAAGCCAGTTAATATACCACCGCTTACATATCTTCATTTGTATTAGTATACTGATATAAAGCTGAAATTTTTCGCAAATGGCTTATGGCCAGTCACCACCGCTTACAGATCTTCTTTATATCAACAATACAAAAGCTGAAACTTCTCGCAAATGATTAACCGACTAACGAGTGGCTCAATCTATATTATCATCATATCTATAAAAACAGCATATATTAGTGAATTACATGTACCTTATCTATATCTTGTAATGAAGTGAGGTGTCGCTTTCTCTGACTATTCAGATTTTCTGCTGTCAACTCTTTGAAGACCTCCAAAAGACAGTTACAATCCCTTCCTTCCGATTGTATATCTTTATACTTCCATAGTTCATGAAAGGCTTTAGCAACAGTAATTTTATTTAAGGGTTCGTTTCGTAAAAAATCCTTTAAGTGGTCAAGTTCGTCGTGAGAAGTCATTAAGTGTGAGGGAAAAACCTTTTTTGTGAGAGAGTGTAGTTGATCAAAGCGAGTTTCGCGAAACTTTTTAGAGCGCGCCATACCAGAGTTATTTAATCAGATTTAGCAGGTCACACGATTATATCATACATGAAAAATTTCCACGATCTTCTAATTTATTCCATTATATAGCATGTGCATGTGATATGTTGACCAATAGTAACAATTACATGGCATAAAAAGTTCTACGACCTTCGATTTTAATACATGAAAGGTTTCCAATTTATTCCGTTATATAGCATGTGATATGTTGATCAATAGTAACAATTACCCGTTATGCGTGCTAAGACATTTGAGGTGTAGCGTTAAAATAACAGTCGATGTTATTGGTGATTTACGTTATGCATAAACAATAGGAATTTTTTTTGACATGGCATAAAAGTTCCACGACCTTCGATTTTAAATGTATTACGAAGGAATGGCACTTACGTATGCCTAAATTACGCAATTGATTTTTCAGGCATAACATTTTTATTAACAAAAAATGAATATACATGAGGTAGTTAATCGATCGTACAAATAAATGCATAATTTATATAGTCGAACTACATATTAATATACAAGCATTCCGAAATTTATGGGTCTTACACAAATATGTTTTAAAAAATAATAATTCGAAAGATTTATTTTATTTAACGATTTAATCAAGCGAAATAGCGGAGCTAGTGCTAAGCACATATTGTTTTCTTACGGCCCCTAAACCATTATCTACCAGGTTGAAAAACTATTTATTGTTAGTATAATTTATTCCATTATCAGTATAATCGCCACTAACTTCATTAATATTTTAATATTATTATTATCGTTGAATGTAGACTTACTTTTTCCTTTAGTCTCCAAGCTTTGATTGCTCTCTATAGTCCTGGCGTCGGGTTTCGTTGTTTAATTATAATAATTTCCCACCGCTTTGTTCGATATAACCTTTATTTTCTAAGATCACTTACAACTTCGGCAACCATAGCGGCTTTAGAATAATCGTTTTCTCGCATGGGTCTCGTCGAAAAGGTTTTTAAATTTCTGGAAGATTGGATCTGAAAACGAAGTGCGTCTTGAACCCCTTTTTTCCTCTTTGTCTTTCGGAAAAAAGATGTATGTTATCAGTATATGTTGTCTGTTTTTTTCTGGCTTTGAGCGGTTACTGCGAGAAGGCGGAATATTTATACATTGAGATAATCTTACCTCGAAACTACTTGAAAAATTGCCTTGAATTATTACTTGAAAGATTACTTGAGAGATTACTCGAATTATTAATTAGGGTATCTCCTTCATAGAATTTTTGTTGGAACTCTTCATAAAACAGAGAAAGTTTTTCGGTAAGATATCTATTTTGTTATAAATCTCATTACGTGGGGAGTTTGAAAAGTCTTGCGCGTAGATCTTATTTCCAGAAATTTCATAATAAATCAATACGACTATTTTGCTCCCTCAAAGTACTCTCCATTAATGTCCATGAAACATTGCAGACGATTCTGTCAACTCTAAAAAGACTTTTCATGGTCGGCTTTTGGGATGGTTTCAGCAACTACCTAAACAGCCCTTGCTCTTATCAAATCTTTTTTCTTTCAGCTGTTTTTTTATTCGAGGGAATTGCGAGAAATATGGTCTTGACTGTATGGCAAATAGAGAATAAGTTCCACTCGCTCGGTATGAAGATACTCCATCATGATCGTTGCCTTATGTGGCGCAGCATTGTGGTACATTGCAAACTTTCTTCTGGGAGGTCAGCTCACTGTGCAAAATAAGAGAGATTTTTTCAGGAGAAATACTGGTTTGGTTGGCTAAATAAAAATGTGCGGGTTATTGCTGACAAAATCCTCGATCTTGGCAATTTTTTCTGACGTCACTGCTTCGCGAAGACGTCTATTGTCTGCCAAGGAAAAACAAATAAGATGTGCGATGTAACACAAGCAGTTCTTCTACTAATGTCTCTTTTAGTTGTTCCTGCTTTTGCTAATGTTGTTTATTGTTTTTTTACGGTTTTTTACGAATAAGGCACCTTACTCTAATCTCCTGATTCGGCAATACTACAAAGTCCCTGTCATCAGAAGAGACTATGTCAATTCCCAACACCGCTTATCTTTTGTGTAAAGAAAATGTTTGTCAACAATCAAATATTAATTATGCCTGAATTTAGCATTTGAAACTAATGACAATCATTGCATATTGCATTCTATCGTGGGCAAATTGCTATCACGTTATGAAAATAAACGAGGTCAATGACATTTTTAGTATTCGTTTAACCCGTCAAATTGCAATATTGTATGCTAGTTGGAACACATGTTAATATACAATCTAACCATAAGTACAAATACAGTTCCCAGATTAGGAATTATACTATTGCTTAAAGAAATTGTATTATCGTCTAACCGTAAATGATGAAGAACATATGATTAATGATTAAAGTAAAATTAAAATACAAAGATAAAATACATATTGCACCAATACTGCAATCAACAAGCATATGTAACCGAAATTTGCTAACAAGATCGCGATCGACTAATACTTCAACGCACATCTTTTATACAACAAGCGTCTGCCCGTAAATTACTAACAAGATCGCATTTGGTAATCACCAATCAAGTCGTCAGAAATTTCGAGTTACTGTATATCCAATCTTAATACAAACGTCCAAGACAGACCCTTGCAATGGAATAGAATACACAGTTGTGATTTAATATGACGCTATTTGCACAAAGTCCCGAGTAAAGTATGTAGCTACATTCGAGCTTAGTTTAGGAGACGTTAATTCAATGCTTCATTGTCAATTTCACCACCATCCGGCACGTGCTTCAAGCTGATTCTTCGCAAATGACTCGTGCGGTCTGCCAATAAAGTAAGATTTTCTTGCTCGGCTCTTTACCGTGAATTCCTTTCATTTGGACAGTGGATTAAAAAAGCTTTTTTTTGTACATCACTCGACTTATTCCACGTGATTGAGACTAATATCAATGAGTGATTGGTTGTTATTAAATGGATAGTATAATACGTAAAAGTTTATTCACATTCTGACTGCCTCATACTATTTTCCAGAAAAGTTCGTGCCTTCGCTTTATGAAAAACCAAGAAACTTTCACCAGGCACGTATTTGGCGGAAAATATTCTCTTGTTTCCTTTTATGCTCGACAAATTATTTTACAGATTTCCGAACTTTTTTAACTTCTTTCCCGAACGCTACCACAAGTACGATATCTAACAAAGTTCAAATTGGAAAGTGTATATTTTTCAGGTGACTGCAAATAGATACCAAATTTAGCAAACTGTTAATGCTTTATTGATGGTACGCAAGTAAAATGGTGTGACTGTAGTAATAATCTGTGTGTGATGTAACACAATAAGCATTGAGAATTAGACACTCCGTGATTTGTACTTGCAACCATGTGGTTCGCATCAAGAACTGCTAAAAGCAATTAATAACCTGGTTCAATCCTCTTGGATGGTGGAACTTGAATGGATTCCTTTCGGAATCACCAACGTTGAACCAACTCAAATTGACAACGTTTTCTACGCTATTCGCAACCCTTATGTTCGGATAACGCGCTGGTATTACTTGGAAGTAGCAAAGAATGCACACCAGCACTTGTGCTAAAATATACTCACTTCCAACACACAAGTACAATAGCAATGACAATAACTTTAGACGATGTTCCACCTGGCTTAACTATCGCAACAAACTCATAAAAGGATTCACCAAGTCCAATGACGATAACTATTATCATGAACGCTTTTACCATTATTATTCTCGATATGGCTTCTGCTCCACATGTGGAATACTCCGATGTAGTCCTGTGTGGTGCATTGTGGTTATAAACAATTATCCGATGGGTGAACTAGCAACAATCACCAACTCGATGACTTTATTAAGAAATCTCAACTACAAACAAACTCACCAAATGACGCCTATTTGGAATGGATTCCATACGATGGTATTGATGCTAGGGAATTTGGATGGGTATACAAAAAAAGTTAGTGATTATCATCAAGTAATTGAGAAAAACGAAAACGAAGAATTAGTAGAAGAACAATGTGAAACTCACATTGAAATTCCCATCCATGCAAAAAATGTACTAAGGAAACCGATAGGCTAAATCGGAAAGTATACCCTCCATATTTCGATGCTAGAGCAATTTATCGAACTCAGTTTCCTCCTTCTCTGTGGAACAGTCTAACTGAAGAACAAAAAGAACGTTTTGTATTACTTTGTTTGTTTGATAACGATAGTAAGGGTAAATAGCAAATGCATACCGAGCACAAGGTTCAACCTCCAACATTTCAAGCTTGTATGGTCCACCTATTTCTACATTTGTTAAATTGATTCCACTTGAGATTACAGATGAGACGCATGATTCGTATTATGCCTATTTACTTATGCGTCATAGTTATTGACTTATGTCTTGCGAAGATTAGTGGTTTTTGGGTAGCTTCTTCAAATATAGTTCGAGTAGAACGTTATAAAAACTCTCCCGACCATACGCACACTTTATTAG